CTCCTCCTCCTCCTCCTCCTCCCCCTTCCCCTCCTCCTCCCCCTCCTCCTCCATATCCTTCTCCCCCTCCTCCTTCTCCACCTCCTCTCCTCCCCCTGCTCCGGTCGCCCACGGCCTCGGGGGAGACCGTGCACACTGGGGTCCCCCGATCGCCGAAGACAGTGCGACGGTTGCGTCCTGCGCGCTTGGGTTTGGCTCGGCCCTCCCGCCGGCTCCCTGGTTCCCCGAAAGCTTCGGGGGTGGACAGACCTCCTACCCTGACACGTCGATTAAAGAATTTGCCGTTTTCGGTTCGCGAGGGGCCGTCGCGGCCGTCATTTTTGCGGGTGCAGGTCCGTCGGTTTCGGTCCCAAGCCGTTTTCACTAAGGGGAGGTTTACTAAAGAGAGGTTTGTCCACCGCCGAAAGCTGCGCACCAAAGGTCACTCTTGCCTAGGATTAATTCGGGCCTGTCCCTCTACACCAGGAGTATTCAGAAGTAGTTTGAAAAATAGCATGTGGACGATTGTTTGCCTAGCTTTGTTGTTTTTGAATATCGTTTGAGTATCTTTCATTTTTCGTCCAAAATCCGCCTGTAGGATACATGCCCGACCTAAGCCTAGGGTCACTGTTGTCGGGGATTGCCAAAGGAGCCCCTTGCCCAAGGTGCCCCCAGCTTTTCGTTCCATCTTGGAGCCCCTGGGGCCCTCGGGGCCTCGTGAGGGGTGCTCTGGAGGCCGTGGGGGCCTGCTCGGCAATCCTGAGGGCACCTTGGGCCAGGGGCACTTCTAGCAATACCCGATCTTGCGCGTAGCCGAGAACATTACCAGCGAACCAAAGGTCACTCTTGCCTAGGGTCACTCCTGTGTGTAGCCGAGAACCCAGTCCCCGGACGTCATGATTTTTTCATAACGTCGAATCCCAGAAGTCTCGACCCATTCCCCTGGACCGGTTCTTCATCCGGAGTCGTTCCTTGATTCTCCCGAGGCCAGGCAAGGGCCCCGAGAAGCCGAAAACAGCGAAAAACCTTCTGTGGTGTTTTTGTTCATGACTCGAGGGGGTCATGGAAGATAGCGAACAACTTCTCGCCGTGAGTTTTCACAGCGCGAGGGGGTCCACGTCGCAGTCGTCGCCGCCGTCGCCGTCGTCGCCGTCGTCGCCGCCGCCGTCGTCGCCGCCGCCGTCGCCGTCGTCGTCGCCGTCGCCGTCGTCGCCGCCGTCGTCGTCGTCGTCTTCGTCGTCGTCGCCGTCGCCAAGAGGCCCACGTCGGGCGCCCGCCGAGGCGCACGGCCGCCGCTCGCAGCAGCTGGCGCAGCTGGCCGAGCAGCTCGCGCGCCACCGCCGCGCGGGGGGCCCCGCCCCCGGCGCGCCCGGCGGCGGGGCGGCGGCGCTGCGGGCCGCGGCGAGCGCCTCGCCGCGGCGCGGTGCGAGGCGAAGAGGAAGGCCTCGGAGGGGGTTCGCCAGGGAGGAGGAGGAGGAGGAGGAGGAGGAGGAGGAGGAGGAGGGAGGAGGAGGAGGAGGAGGAGGAGGAAGGAGGAGGAGGAGGAGGAGGAGGAGGAGGAGGAGGAGGAGGAGGAGGAGGAGGAGGAGGAAGGAGGGGAGGGGGAGGGGGAGGGGGAGGGTGAGGGCAGGGCCAGGAGGAGGAGGAGGAGGAGGAGGAGGAGGAGGAGGAGGAGGAGGAGGAGGGCCTTCATAGGCCCAGGAAGGGCCCCGAGGGGCCGAAAGTATAGAACCACCTCCCGTCATGGTTTTTGTCCATGGCCCGAGGAGGTCGGGGTCTGAAACAGGGGCACGAAGGATGGCATAAACATGACAACTCGGGTCCGCGGGCACGAAGGTCCGCGCGGCTTTCTCGGATCCGCGCTGGATCCCCCCCCTGGGCGCGCGGAGCGCGCCAGGAGCGACGCCAGAGGCGCCGCCAGGAGCGACGCAGGTCCGAGAAATCCGCGCGGACCTCCGAGTTTGTATGTTTATGTCATTCTTCGTTCCCCTACTGCAGACCCCGACCTCCTCGGGCCATGGAAAAATAATGACGGGAGGTTGTTGTATATTTTCGGCCTCTCGGGGCCCTTATTGGGCCTCGGGAGCGTCAAACCCGATTCGGCATGAAAAACTGGTCCTGGGGAATGACTGGGTCGAATTTTCTGGGGGCCGACGTCATGAACAAAAATTCTGCCTCTCGGGGCACTTACTGGGCCTCGGGAGTGTCAAAACCCGAAGGAGGGGGAGGAGGAGGAGGAGGAGGAGGAGGAGGAGGAGGAGGAGGAGGAGGGAGGAGGGAGGAGGAGGAGGAGGAGGATGGAGGAGGAGGAGGAGGGAGGAAGGAGGAGGGAGGAGGGAGGAGGAAGGAGGCGGAGGGACGGAGGAGGACGGAGGGACGGAGGGACGGGGGAGGGGGGAGGGGGAGGAGGGAGGAGGGAGGAGGGAGGAGGGAGGAGGGAGGAGGGAGGGGGGAGGAGGGAGGAGGAGGAGGAGGAGGGAGGAGGAGGAGGGAGGGGGGATGAGGGAGGAGGGAGGAGAGGGAGGAGGAGGAGGGAGGGAGGGGGGAGGGGGGAGGATGGAGGAGGGATGAGGGAGGAGGGAGGAGGGAGGAGGGAGGAGGGAAGAGGGAAGAGGCCGAGCTGAACCCCCTTTGTCGTTGCCCCCCCCCCCCGGTCCGAGAGGCGCTGTCGTTGGGCGCCGACGCCGGCGCGTGCCGCGGCGAGGCCGAGGAGCTCTCTGAGGAGCTGCGTCGCGCCGCGGAAGGTGCCTCCGCGAGGCTGCGCGCCGCCCAGGATCCACCTCCGCCCCTTTGTTCTCCGCCTCGTTCCTACTCGTCCGCGTCCTCTTCCAAAGTCCTCCACGTCCTCTTCCTCGTCGGCCTCCTTCTCTTCCTCCTCGTCCGCGCCCTCCGCCTCGTCCGCGTCCTCGTCCGCCTCCTCATCCTCCTCCTCGGATCCTCGAACAAAAGACACACCACGTCAAGGGATCCAAGGCAAGGGTCATTGCTCAACTTCTGGGCCTGGGATTGGACCTAATGCAACCCAGCAGGTGGACCAGCCACAAGCCCAGCGGGACACGTGTGGGCCGACAGGAAGGACGACATGCCACACTTCGCAGCCCTGCTGCATGGAGGTAGAAACCAGTGTGCAAGCCGCGCTTTGGAACACAGCAGCGGAGGTCAGAGGTGGCCGATATGACAAGACGGAGGAGATGTGTACCAGCTACAGCGACATTTCGCAGGAGAAGAAACAAAGGCAGCCATACTGAATATCATAGCTGCAGGGGGGCACTTGATCAAGGGCAAGGAGGTGCCAATTTCTACCAGCAAGACAAGGTGATCACGTATGCAACGGGTGCGGGAAAGAACCTGCAACAGCAGATCACCGATCTTCCAAATGCCCCACGTATGATGAGGAGACCTGCTATATCAACAACGAAAACGCTGCAATGAAAGAGAGTGTGCCAAACAGGTCGACCACGAAGGAGACGAACGCAGCACGCAGCGCAGATCTTCTGCGCGAGCGCCGACGCCCGGGAGACCGTGCATCAGGGCGGCAGAGCAGACCAGCTGCGCTTTCACGGACGGATCAGGGGGAGCGGGAACCACAGCCACAGGCCTAAGGTTGAGAACGTGTGGATGGGCAGCGGCAGCCAGGGACCTAGACTCGACATGAACACCATACGAAGCAGCGGCATGCCATGGCACCATAGCGGCACCACACAGACTTCGGAGGGCAGAGCTCACGGCGGTGGGCGCAGCGATCAAGTGCATCAGAGCGGCACCAGGAGTCACCCTCAAGGACAGCAGCTGTTGCAGGTACGCCCCAGACGCACTGAAGCAACAGCAGGACCCAGCGAACCAGGACTACCGCCACTTCAAGCGCGATCTCCGGCTCGTAGACAAGCAGCAGCCGCAGCGCAGCCAGCGCGCCATGACCGGGCACCACATCCCGAGCCACCTCGTGGAGCGCCCAAGAAAGCTGGAGAAGCGGTGGCGGTGGTGGGGTGGGGGGGGCGACGTGGCGGGTAGTCGGCAACGAGTTCGTAGACCAATTTGCAGGGCCCCCTTCTTGGACCGTTTTTGGGGGGTCTCTGGGCCCTCGTGGCCGGATTGGGGGCCCTCCATCCCGCCATGACGCGGGGATCTGTCACCAGCGGGCGGAGGGGGGCGTACAATTCACGGTGTGGGGCCCCTGGGGGGGGTATATGGAGGGGTGACAATCTCACACGTTTTGAGACCCAGAGGGGAGGGGTTATGGGAGGCGAGGGGGGGGGGGGGGGTAAATTCACGGTTTGGGGTCCTTGGGGGGCGGGTTTATGGAGGGGGGGCAATCCCACGCGCCTGGAGACCCACAAGGGGTTTGGCGGATTTCTCACCACGTGCGATTCTTAATTCGGAGAATTTGCAACAGCTTCACGGATGGAGGGCGGGTAGTTTTTGAAATGTGGTTCTCGCCCCAGCGCGCGCATTTGTTTAAAGTTGGCAAGAGTTGCGCGGATGGAGGACATATGGTTTACAACGTATAGTGTTCGTTTTAGCGCCACCGCATTCGCTTTAAAAGTTTGCAAGAGCTTCATGCATGCAGGGTGGGCGTTTTTTTGTTTCTTCTCGTTCTTTTCTTTTTTAATGTGGCTCTCGCACCAGCGCCGTTCTCGTATGCCTTACAAGCAGGCGCGTGCTTGACGGATGGAGGGCTGTTCCTTGTTCAGAATGTTGTTTCCGTTCCAGCGCCGCGTGCATTCGTTTTTATAGTTTGTACCAGTTTTACGGATGGACGGCGGTGCCTCTTCAACACATGGTTCTCGTATTCGCGCCGCACACATTCATCTTAAGAGATGTTTGCGGCCCCAAGGGTTCGTACCCTGAAATGTTGCTTTGGCACGGTGTAGGAGTTATAGGGCGCAACAGTTACGTTGATTCGCGGCTTTTGAATCCTCGGAATGTTGTTCTGGCGCGATTCAGAGTCATCGGGGCGCAATAGTGACGTAAATTCGAAGCGTTGGAGGACCAGGAATTGGTGTTTTGGCACGTTTCAGAACTTTCAAGTGGTTGTTTTCCAATTGGGGCCTTCCCTTCTCTTGTAGAGACCGATTCTGAAAGGGAGAATTCGGAAGGAGGTTTTATTGCAACGCCACTGACGAAACTTGGACTTACCCTGGTGTCTTGGCAAGTTTCAGGATTTTCAGGCGTTGTCTTCTCATGGGGCCCTCCCTTCAGTGAGAACCTGCGTATCTTGAAAAGGAGAATTCTGAGGGAGGGTTTTGTGCGACGCTATTGATGAAGTTTGGAATTACAGTCGGGGCGCTGAAGAAGGAACCCTTTTCGTTGGGGAGTGGCTCGGTGTTCCTTGATTGTTCTACAGCTTGCCTGAGGTTTTCATGAGGCTTCCCATGGGAGATCGAAGTGTAGCTTATGGGACAAAAAGGGGCCTCGTTCCTTATTTAGGGTTCCTCAGGTCAACGCCCCGACTGTACGCTCGTGCTCCTCCTGCGCACCAGGAGGAGCGGGCGTGCCACGCCGGGCGCCTGGAGGCGCTGAGGGCCCGGCACGCGGGGGCGGCGGAGCAGCTGCGGCGGCTGTCCGAGGAGCACCGCGGTCGTCGTCGTCGTCGCCGCCGCCGCCGCCGTGGCGGTCGTCGTCGGTCGGAGCAGCTGCGGAGGCTGTCCGAGGAGCGTTGCCCCCCTCGTCCGTCGTCCGTCGGTCTGTCGCCGCCGTCGTCCGCCGTCGTCCGCCGCCGCCGACGTCGTCGTCGCCGTCGTGCGCCGTCGCCCCGCCGGGAGGAGCTCGCGGGCGCGGAGGCGCGGGGGGCGGAGCTCGAGGCGGAGGGGCGGCGGCTGCAGTCCGAGCTCGGCGCGGCCGCCGCGGAGCTCGCCGGAGGGCGCGACCGGGCGCAGGCGACGCGGGGCGCGCCGAGGGGGGCGACGACGACGGCCACGACGACGGCGACGACGGCGACGACGACGGAGACGACGGACGACGACGACGAAGACGACGATGGACGATGACGACGCACGACGCACGACGACGACGACGCACGATAACGACGACGACGACGACGGACGACGACGACGACGATGACGACCACGACGACGACGACGATGGATGACGACGACGACGACGACGCGACGAAGACGACGATGACGAATGACAACGGACGACGACGACGACGACCACGGACGATGACGACGAGGACGACGACGCACGACAGCGACGACGACGACGTTGGACGTTGACGACGATGACGACGACGACGATCACGGACGACGACGAAGACGATGGACGACGACGACGACGATGACAACGGACGACGACGACGACAACGACGGACGACGACGACGCACGATGACGACGACAGACGACGACGACGGCGCAAGACAACGACGACGACGGTCGACGTCGACGATGATCACGACGACGACGGACGATGACGACGACGACGGTGACGACGACGACGGAGGACGGACGGACGGACGGACGGACGGAGACGACTTCGACGATCACGGACGACGACAGACGACGACGACGGCGCACGAGAATGACGACGACGGTTGACGACGACGACGATGACGACGACGGACGACCACGACGACGACGGACGGCGACGACGACAAACACGACGATGGCGAATGACAACGGACGACGACGATGCACGACGACGCACGACGACGTCGACGGAGGACGACGGACGACGACGATGCACGACAACCTCGACGACGACGATGCAAGTTGACGGTTGATGGTTGGCAGCGGCGAGCACGACGACGACGGATGACGGACGACAAACGGCGACGATGACGACGACGACGACGATGGACGACGACGACGACTTTGACGTCGATGACAGTTGATTGTTGACGGTTGACGACGACGATGACGACGGACGACGACGACGACGAAGACGACGACGACGAAGACGACGACGACGCACGACGACGACGACGACGCACGACAACGACGACGACGACGACGGACGACGGCGACGACGATGACTACCACGACGACGACGGACGGCGACGGCGACGACGACGGACGACGGCGACGACGACGAAGACGACAATGACGAATGAGAACGGACGACGACAACGACCACGGACGGCGACAACGAGGACGACGACGCACGACTGCGACTTCGACGACGTTGGACGACGACGACGACTTCGACGACGACGACGATGACCACGGACGACGAAGACGATGGACGACGACGACGACGACGACGGCAACCACGACGACGGGCGATGACGACGACAGACGACGACGACGACGGCGCACGGCAACGACGACGACGGACGACGACGATGATGACGACGACGACGGACGACGACGACGACGACGATGATGACGATGACAACGACGGACGGACGGACGGACGGCGACGACGACGGCGCACGACAACGACGACGACGCACGGCAACGACGACGACGATGACGACGAAGACGATGACGACGACGAGGACGGACGACGACGATGACGACGACGACGACGACACGGACGACAAATGACCAAAGACGACGAACGGCGGACTACGGACGACGGACTTCGGACGACGGACCACGACGACGGAAGATGGACGACGAAGATGACGACGGACCACGGATGACGGATGACGGGCGACGACAGACGACGACGGACGACGACGACTACGACGCCGACGACGACGACGACGCCGACGTCGACGACGACGACGACGTCGACGACGACGGACGACAGACGACGGCAAAGACGACGACGACGACCTCTGCGACTGCGTCGACGACAGGCGACGACGGACGACAGACTACGACGGCGGCGGTGATGACGACGACGACGACGACGACGGCGACGACGACGGACGACGACGACGACGACGACGACGGCGACGGCGACGACGACGACGACGATGACGACGACGATGGAAGTTGACGGTTGACGGATGGCAACGGCGACGACGATGACGACGGACGACGATGACGACGACGACGGCGACGGCGACGACGGCGCCGACCATGACGGCAGACGGCGACGACGACGACGACGGACGACGAACGACGGACGACGACGACGCACGACAACGACGATGACGATGGACCACAGACGACGACGACGACGGTGACGGCGACAACGACGGACGACAGACGACGGACGACGACGACGACAACGACGACGACGATGACGACGGCGACGGCGACGACGGGCGACGGACGACGGATGACGGACGACCGCGACGACGACGACGACGTCGACGATGACGGCGACGACGACGACGGATGCCGAACGACGACCATGACGAAAACATACGACGACGACCACGACGACGGACGGCGAACGACGACGACGACGAAGACGGACGACGACGGACGACGAACGACGACAACGAAGACACACGACTGGACGACGACGGACGACGAACGACGAACGACGCCGACGACGGACGATGACGGACGACGGACGACGACGACGGACGGTGGACGACGACGACGACGGACGACGGACGACGGACGGTGGACGACGACGGCGACGACGACGACGACGATGACCACGGACGACAAACCACGACGGCGACGACGACGCTGACGACGCCGACGGACCATTGACCACAGGCGACAGACGACGACGGACGTTGACGGCGACTGCGACGGACGACGACGACGACGACTACGACGACGACGACGGCGACGACCTCGACGGCGGCGAGGGACGACAGACGACGACGAGGACGACGAAGACGACGAGCCGCGGTGGTGTCGGCGACGACGACGACGACGACGGCGGTGACGACGACGACGACGACAACGACGGACGACGACGACGCCGACGACGACGAGGACGACGACGACGACGACGGCGACGACGACAACGAAGACGGACGACGACGGCAATGACGACGTTGACGACGACCGGCGCCGGCGACGACGACGGACGACGAGGACGATGACGGACGACGACGACGACGGGGACGACGGCGGCGACGACGACGACGGGTGTCGAGTATGGACGACGACGACGTCACCGACGACGACGACGGGCGACGACGACGACGACGACGAGGGAGTACGGACGATGACGACGACGGGCGACGGACGATGGCCGATGACGACGGACGACAGATGGCAGAAGACGGACGACGTCGACGACGACGACGACGATCGACGATGGACGACGGACGGCGGACGACGGACGACGGACGACGGACGGCGGACGACGGACGACGACGACGACGACGACGGACGACGGAAGACGGACGATTGACGATTGACGACGGACCACGGACAACGACGACGGCGGCGACGACGTCGTCGACGATGTTGACGGACGACTGGCAACGACGACGACGACGACGACGACGACGACGACGACCACGAGCGGCCGCGACGGCGGCGGCGTGGCGACGACGCCGGCGGTGCACGGCGGTGACGGCGGACGGCGACGGCGACGGGCCGTGGAGGCGCGCCGAGGCGAGGGGGCGTGGCTCTTGGAGAGGGGTTGGAGGAGGAGGAGGAGGAGGAGGAGGAGGAGGAGGAGGAGGAGGAGGAGGAGGAGGAGGAGGAGAGGAGGAGGAGGAGGAGGAGGAGGAGAGGGGAGGAGGAGGAGGAGGAGGAGGAGGAGGAGGAGGAGGAGGAGGAGGAGGGAGGAGGAGGAGGAGGAGGAGGAGGAGGAGGAGGAGGAGGAGGAGGAGGGGAAGGAGGAGGTGGAGGCGGAGGCGGAGGAGGAGGAGGAGGAGGAGGAGGAGCCGGAGGCGGGTGGCTTCCTGGAGGCCCAGGCCCCTTCCCCCACCCTTTCGCGCTGTGGAAAAACCACGGCGACTTCAGTTCGTTCCAGCCATCATGTGGTCTTGGGCCCTCTTTTTTTTAATCAGCAGCGTCCCGTTTGCCTCAGTCGTCCTCGTCGTCCTCCCCGGGCTCCCTTGTCCCATCCCCTGCATCTGCCCTCCGCGTGTTTCGTTTGCGGCACGCCCCTCACGCGCTTCGCGGCCCCGCAGGGAGCTTCACAGAAGGCACCAGTGGCAGGGTCTGCACGCACTTCCACCCCCCATTCGGGCACACCCCTCACACGCTTCGTGACCCCACAGGGAACCCACTCCTCCGAAGGCCTCTGGCAGCGCCCGCGGGGCGTCAGCCCGCCCATGGTGGCACACCCCTCGCACGTTTCGTGACCCCACGAGGAGCTCCGCCGAATGCCCCGCTGGCAGCGCCCGCATGGCGTCACCCCACATCTTTTCGATACACCCTTCACGCGTCCCGTGTCCTCACAGGGAGCTCCACCGAAGGCCTCGGTGGCAGCCCCCGCATGGCAGCACCGAGGGCCCCACTGGCGGCGCCCGCGCGGGCGTCACACCGGCACGTTTCGACGCACTCCTCACGCGCCTCGTGACCGTCAGGGGGCCCCCATTGAATGCCCCAGCGGCAGCGTCCGCACGGCACCACCCCGCCCGCTCGAGCACAGCCCCAGCACGCTTCGTCACCCCACCTCCGTCCGACCTGCCTTTTGCGTGGTATGTGCACCTGCATGTGGCCGGAGCCTCCGCCAAGATCGTCGCTGTATGTGTTCGCCTCGGGGTGCCCTCGCCGGCCCTCGGGGCCGTCGAACGACGACTCGGGATGGAAAGTCGGCCCCATGGGGACGAAGGCTTGCAAAAAAACCGAAGGATTGCAAAAAAACCTTCGAAGGATTGCAAAAAAACCTTCGAAGGTTTTTTTTGCAATCCTTCGTTTTTTTGCAATCCTTCGGTTTTTTTTGCAATCCTTCGGATCAAGACCTCCAGGGGTCACGCCATGAAGCCTTACAGCGCCCGGGGTCTGGGAGGCGGGGACGACAGATAGATATATCAGTGTGCGTGTGTGTGTGTACATATATATATATATACATATATATATATGTATATATATATATATATATATATATATATATATATAT